AAGAGAAACTCATTAAAGTTAAGTGTCTCGCACCGACAAAACAACACAACCCTTACTGTAGCCTGGTACACACGACCCTTAAGATCTAGTGAGATGCCCTTTTGACGCCATAAGTGACTACTTCCTCTCAGACCTGCATGTAGGATTGCAAAAAGTACCAAGCACCAAATCACCCTTGTTTTTGTTCACTGCCTTGTGCACTCGATGGAGGCGTAACTCTTTCATCAGGTGAACACAATAATGACATCTTTCTTAAGCGGTATCCTCAGAATGCGAGGATAATCCCAGGGCATTTTTGAAAACATTTGTGGTGTTGAATGGATGGTTTATCAACCCTAACAACGATTTTATATTTTTCTCCCCTTCACTGGTAGTCAGTCTGCAAATAAACTTTGAACCTTGTACACCCTTTACATCATGGTATTTCTAAAAAATAGATTAGAGTAGTACGAAGCATTCCGTTAGGTTGGGCGCGAGGGGAACGGAAATAATTTCGTGGAGTAGTGTTTGAATTGATTCATACTGTCAATCATCAGTAACTTATAATTGTTTCACCCTTACAATATATATTCAAACGCTGGTATTCTCAAAGATATATCAGCTTGTTGATCAGGCAAGTGGGTGTTTGACGGAAATCAGTTGTGACCGGCTTGACAAAAGATACGTCTGGTCAGTGAAATCCAGGGTAACACAAATGACAATGGTATTCAACGCAGTACGCAGAATGATGGTCTTCACTGAGTTTTCGAATGGGCATACTGCAGTGCGCATGTTGATTGGTGTGTGATTCTAAGTTTCTCAAACTGCGTCGTAGTTAACAAAGTTTTTGTTGGCGTGGCTCATTCGAACAACTGGTAACACGGGTGCATTAATTTCTGTCACTAATGTTGTGAAATGAGATAGTTTGACTCCTATTGTCTCGATCAGTAAGATGTTCATTCATTAACATGTCCGTGCCATTGCTGCATTCATTGTGCGCAGAATCCTTGTGGGACTGGATTCCATTTTCTCTGTCTATAAGTGAATGCGCAGCACCTCGTGACAATGTTGCGAGATATGGGTAGTTTGAAGGATCAAGAACCAAGCAACAATTTGTTTCATACAAACCGCAGTTAGACTGTTCAACATGCTTGGTAGTTCATCTCCATGACTACGCGACGATCAGAAGGGATGTCTACACGCCGTTTGTTGGTTGAGAGAAACTGAATTCAGGGATCTCCAGATAAAATTTCCCGGATAATCAGTCGTTTGAAAAAATCGGTACAAACGAGTTTTCCTTGACCTCTGCTTGCGCTTTGTTGTGGTGTGTTTTGCCCAGTTTGAACAGCGTTCGTACTCAGCGCTGTTTGTTGGATTTCGGATGTTTACCACGGTAATGCACCATTTCGTTCGTCTTAGTCGCTTTCCTGCGGACTTCTGTTTGTACTAGTCTGATTGGCAGACTGGTTTTAAGCACGTCCATTGGTGCTAGTTTTCCATCCCCTTCGTGTTCTTCAACCGTAGGTTCGATGTCATCGAAAACGCTGTTTGGTGACTGACTTGTTAGTTTTTTTTCCAAACGATGCTGAAATGGTTGCTCACACAGTGGATCTATAATTTTGGACTTATATAGTGAGGCACAAGTGATTCCAACTTTTGATTCTGGCCTGCTTGATGAGTCCTAAGATTGGCGACCCTATTGGTGCTGCTCTCAGTTTTTTGCACTATTCTTCGGCTAGTGCAAATTCTGTGGAATTAGGTAGCTCACAGATGGTAGCATAGTTTGGTAATTCTCCTGGATTTCAACAGCTGTCCAGTGGTTCAGCAACAGTTATCTACACGGATTTGATTTTCACGAATGTAAATAGTGAGGTCGTATCGACTGATACCATAAGTTCGTCTCCTTAGTTCCATATGTCTTTTAGTGGGAGCAAAAGCTGTTTTGGGTTGCTAACTGATCGTGGGGCTCTGTTGATACAAATCCCAGCTTTTTCCACAGTTCTTCTGAAAAGTTGTGCGCGGGTGTTTCTGAGAGGAGTGAGATGGACATTGGTGGTATTTTTTTTATTTATATGCCTTTGGAAATCGACAGAGGTAAGCAGTATTCGAGCCGAGCCGCACTCCCCCAGTATCCCTCCTTTGTTGTAATCTATTGCATGACTTGGGATCTTGTAAGATTTGTGTTGATTTTGTGCGTCTTTTGTTTGATCGTCTTCCGTACGATGAAATGTAGTTGTGTTCTCTAGTATAGTCTGCGCTTTGTTTAGATGGACCGCATTGTCCAGGATGAGTGTCAGGCATCGCTTGTCGGCTGGTAGAATGACGATGGATTCGTCTTTGCCAGATTTTCTACCACAACCTTTTCCCCAGTGCAGTAACAACCAACCCTTTTATTGCACGGGTGACTAAAACGACGATTTTACGGAGTAGTTGTTGAGTATCCTCACTGATCGCAACATATTTCATCGCTGCCCCTAGAATGATGAGATAATACAGATTGACGGAAGCGGGTTTGAGCTCTTGTATGGGAACGTTCCATTCCGCCCATGTGAAGCGTCTTCTGGAGGTATTTTTGACTCATAACTTGATGCGTTTGTTTTCTTTTACTGAATTTGTTCCCAATTTTGTCTTTCTTGTCTCCGCTGTTTGACCTAACTCTTTGTGGTACTGATGTACTGAGTTGCTGTAGAAGTTCTGGTCCCATTGTTCTTAGTGAGGTTTTCATTTTTTAAATATTTCCTGGATGACTATCATCATCCCACCACTATCACACCACTATCCGTTTGGCGTACTGTCTGGCTGGTGCCTGAGTCCGTAGGTGACATGGTGGTGGTTGGTAGGTAATGCTGCTCTGAGAACGCATTTTCACATGCATTCATGGAGGAAGTTGTACTGTTGTCGCGTAAGCGCTTGTCGGCAGGCGACAGTCTTCTAAAGTAGAGCCGTCTTGGCTGCACAGTGCCAGAATTTGTTGATGATGTTCCGCATCTAAACACTCACTATTACTCACTTCAATAATTGAAATGAGTTGAATTCTAAATAATCAATGGATGCATCGTTGTAAGCGGTTTGTGTCATTTGCTCAATGGATACAACACAATAATAAGCTCCCTCCTGGGTGCATCCTTAAGGAATCGTTTCGCCCTACATTATTGCTATGAAGGTTTCCGAATGCTCACTATTTCCGTCACTATGGGGTGTGATGCAATGATGAAGGCAGAGAAGAGGCAACGGAATCGAGGCTGTTCTCTGTCCGTAAGTGCTGAGCTGAAGATCTGCCACCAACTTGAACTCCATCTTATTAAGGAGAGATGACCCTTCTTACCACTATTTGAGAATATTTTTATATTAGACAACTTAGCGATAGAAAGAGTACTAATTGTTCATCGGTGGCATCCTTCTGTTGCGGAGCTGCCACGCAACCCGAAAGAGCAACGACGAATGAGGTACTTCTAGGTTACCGAACCCAGAAGGAGCTAGTTGAAAAGCCAGGATCGCGGTTGGTTAGAGTCACCTCTCCGTACTCACTGACTGATAAGGTGCTCAGTTCTTATTAAGCTTCCTTGATCGCTTTTGGCTGAAACAATGAGTAAACTGTGTATCCAGGCAAGAAAGTGTCGAGCTGATATCATATGATGCTTCCAAGTGAAATCTTTCTTACATTGTAGCCCTCCGGAAGATGTCGCTTCAGAAAAGCTAGAATCTGATACTGCAAGAACATTTGTGTGCCTATCGGGTATCTGGCGGTATCATGCTAATTGGGTTCTTATGAAAATTAGACAAGATTTATACAGTATCTCTTTGGTTTATTCCCATCTTTCTCGCATCCGTATGAAGGATGGATGTGCATAAACCTCAACAAGTCTTGTTTACTGTCTTGTGGAAGTTACCAAAGCCGAACCCCACGTGTTTGCGTAAAACGAAGCATCCCGTTTGGTTGACAACCACACAAAAACCATTGACACCCTGGTTGATTTAGGAGAAGTGTCACGAGATCACTTAAAACTAGAGTAAATAAAGTAGACTGTGAGAAGTATTCTGAGTATATCGGACTGCCGGGCGTCAGAGATACACACTAAGACAATGAATAGCATCTTCAATTCTGTATCCTGATAAAGCACCTCGAAACTTTCATGCACTGATCTACTACCATACCAAGACGGAATTTTCAAAAAAAAATTCTTTCTGTGACGTCTGAGTCAAACCCTACGCAAATGTGACATTGTTGAGAGATATCTAGTGTAACCCAAAGTGAATGCAATTTACGTCAATCGAGGGTACATGGCAATGACACACACGAGAACCATCTACACAATCAGAAGGGCTCAGCAATTCGGAGCGAAATTACGTCACTTCGGTGTCTGTCTCATGAAAATAACCGTCATTCAAGAGGGCTCTTCTTGCTATGTACTGGGGTCGAGCATTTCGATTTAATCTACCGAAACTCCACACAGCTTCTGTGTTGCATCTGGAACAAGACATGTATCGCAATTGTTCCCATCCAAGTTGCTTCATTATCTGCTAAACAAACGAGAATCGAAATCAAAGCCATTCACTACACTACCCAGTTGCATACTGTTTTAATGCAAGTTGAAGACAGTGTTATTTTCAACCACCGCGTCGTGATGTAAACCTATAAAATGTTTCCTCTGGTTGGTTGCAAATTCCCCAATGAAAATACCACTCAAACTTTCACGTAAAACTCGCTATGAATAAATCAAGAATGGTGAATTTTCTGTAGAGTCCACTACCTTGAGGCAATAGTTTTCAGCAACCAATCATCGCCGGTATGCAACATGCCATTTGGTTTGGTCTGGTCTATAAAGTTTGTCGAGAAGTTTTTTGCTTTATTTTTTCGATTGCATACAAGATAAGACTTTTGGAATGTACACTGATGGAAATTATTTTTTTAGACCAGATTGAATGTATTGAACTGGTGCTGGTCAATGATCATCAGGTTAGACAGGTTGTTCGACACTCTTTGAAACTTTGAAAATTGTTTTTGTTTCCACCACATCCACTATAATAGAATTTGCTGCAAGCCTTTCTTGATTTGTTGAAGAAGTAGCGTACGAATTGGCCATCACAAGTTCCAGATTTCTTTTGTAGACTGCAATACCCTGTGAAGGAAAAGTATGAATATTGTGATCACTGGAAATAGTAACAAGTCAAAAGTGGTAAACACGATTAGTACGTATCTTTGACACAACAGTTTTGGTAACTAGCTTGAACCTTTGTTTACATTTCTACTCGGGACATCCCTGAAACCGTCATAATTACATAATAAGTTCTGAAGGGGTGGGGAAGGGGCGGTAAATCGCCATATGCGACACTACGTGACAATCGAAAACGTGATTCGTCTTGTTGTTACCTGTTTGGCCTTTCCATCTACAGAGTTAACAACCTTCGCATACGTTCAGTTCTCAATAAGCATGCCCCTGTAAACTGTCCTAATCAAGTAAACCACAGAGGACTGACCTATCTGTGAAGGAAAGTCCGAAGGGAACTGAGAAAAATCGCTGATGATAACGTTTGTACTTTGACGCTCAGCCGCAGTTCACCTTGAATTGACCCTTATGGTTTACGACTCGTAGGATGACGTTTCAAAAAAGGAATACGTTCCACTCGCAAAAGTTGGAACTTCATGTCGGAGGCATTAAACGCTCACAAGCCACATGTTACGAATTACGGCACAATGATTTGAGTGTTCAAAGATGGAGCTGGAAGCACCTGACCGAATTCCTGTTCAATTTTGCGTTCACGTTAGAATCGGACATCAGAAAAAAATAAAATGCAGTACACCAGAGGCTTCTCGGCTCTGCCTCATCATATGCAGAGACGACTGGCACCGTCTGTTTAATGTCACGAAGATTAGAGTCAAAGTTGTTTGAGGACCAAACAATTGGAGTTGAGCAGTGATGCAGTTGCCTTGTTTCTATTCCGAATTCGTTTAATCGGAGGGACGTCAGTTTGTCTGCGTACATTGCAGTAGGTTGCATGAAAATTCAACCTAAGCCAACAAGTTCCTCTTTTAGTACCGTACGACATAATGGCGTCCATCAGACGTCCATCAGGTGTCCATCAGTTCATCAAACAAATTTTCGACTTTCAGTTTTTGCAAATTTTGAACAAAGCCAGTGTGATACTTCTTCAGAGGCCGGCTAATAATTTGTTTATCAAACGTGCCCCACAGAATGCACTGTTTATCGGCACTTTGGGGCATGACTGAGTTTGAGAGCATCAGGGTTGAAACCGAACGTAATCTCGCTCATCCGAACCTCACTAAATATGTTATTTAGACTTGGTCAAGGTCAGCGGGTCACCAGTCTGTCGGATGGAAACGCTTATTAACCATTTGTTTATACCAGCATTTAGGTACACCCGTACGTCATTTTGAATATGCCTTCCAGTCATTTGTTTGGACTATTTTGAGGTTAGTACTTTTTCAATCGGTGTGTCGTGAAGCAGTTCCGAATGATAACGCACATGTTATCTAACAACACTGCATCCAAAATAGCAAGCGTGTGTTTCAGTTCAGTGAGTGGATAACAGTGAATACCGCCTTTGATTGTGTACTCCTAGTGTGCACATGACTGAGGTTTTTGGCTTAATCTGGTGAAATGTAAGAAACACTCTAGTGTATCAGTGGCTATCGTCTGTAGCGGATTCCATGAGTGACTTCTTAAGATTCTCCTAAAGACTGAATAATATTGCCTGGCAAACCGAATATTTGGGGTCAGTAGCGAACGGCGTCGAAATCTGGGAAGGTCTAATGTGCACATCATGGATCGGTTTTCACCAACTAGGGTGCGAACAATTGAACGTTTTGGAATCACTGCGTATGCAGAGCTTGCAGCGTGTGCCAGTCACAAGTAGGCAAAAATTATTTAAAGAACAAATGCGATTAATTGGAGGAATTGTTACTGCATCATACAGAGTTATCCAAAAGTTCGATGGAGTAAAGGAGGCACAAGCGCTGAACATTATTCCAGCCACAACTATGGTTTAACTCAGCACAGGATGCAGACATTTGTCAACATACTCCGGCTTCTTAAATCATCGTCATACTTATTTATGTAATCTTCGGTGTTAACAGCAGTTCCATTCAAAGTGCCATTCCTTTGTTGATGAAGGAATATGAAATACACAAAATTTCTCAAGGTTAACTTTCGTTCTAGGGAGTGGTTGCATAAAGTACTACCAACGGTAATAAGATGTGTGTGTGTGTAAACGTTAAAACTTACATTCGTAACAGTGAACTGCCGTCGCAACGACCGCAAGGACAAAGATTATGCGATGCATCACTGACGAATCTCTAAATACTTGATCTTCAAAGGACCGAAGATTTTATACTCTGCGAAGTTTCGAGGGAAACGCGATTAATACGGTGTGTGTGTGTTTGATTCGTGGAGAAACACGAGGTATACGGTGCCAGGGTTCAGATATGCAAATTACAAACATCCAGGAATTTTCTGAACGAGGGCCGAACCACAAGGTTACATCGTATTCTTGATTGTTGACTTAATGCATTCGATCTTATCTAAATCGCATTTCATCAAGGGTCATCCTAAGTTACCGATCTTTCGTTCGAACTTCGCGAGTAAACTGAACGACGTGCCAGCCATGGTGCAAAATATCTGGCTTCCAGTTACCTGATACGGAGTTGAAGCTCAACGGGGTAATGGAAGTTATCAACAAGGATAACATATGGCAAATAAGATACTGTGGTTCTGAAGAGAAACTGGCGTTCCTCCTGCCTTACTACAGCCATTGTTGTTTAATGGGCCAAGAGAACGATAATTTCAGAATTCGTCGCGAAAATTAAGCCGCACTCTAACTTCCGAAGCATATGTTTTCTGTGATTGGTTTTCGTGGTCCGCATCTGTGTGTGTTTCGTATTGAAATGGGTCGCGGTCATTTATCCCAATTAGGATACCCAAGTGACATTTAGGTGAAGTTATGGATAGGACTATCTGAATATCGATGCATATCGATCCATCAGCATGGATCAGTTCCCTTCAAGCCCAGGAGTTGCTGTTCCTTGACTGCCATCCACATGTTGAGGTTTCACCGCTGATTTTCTCGTCATCATGGGAAGTTACAACGTTCGTATAAAGTCCAGCTAGGTATCAAGAAGTCAGTAACAATTACAAATCAATGAATGATTTGTATTTCAGAATGCAGATCCAGTCTCCCTACTTAGTTGTTTAGTGATGATGCACGCTACGCATTAGACGTATATATTAATGCACCGACCGCTCTTTTGGCCCTGCGTTCAACTGCCCAACGAATTTTATTAGTAACTTCGATTTAGTGTGCATCCTTAGAGGGTGTAAATCTCTAGGTAGCATGTTTCGCTGGTCCCATGAATAGCCGCGTATGGGATGCAAAAGGCATATTTGACTTCAGGGAGCGTTGCCCCAAAGCTACAACGGTGGTGTTATTCACCGCACGTGGCACTCTCTACATTAGCTACATACTAGGTCCTATTCAACGGCTACGCTGGGGTCCGCAACAAAACTTTTATGATGCTGATTTTGTAATGATCACCTAAAGCCAGTGGAGATACAAGCCTTTTGGAATGATAAGTGGAATGAATTGTTTGTTCAGATGCGTTCAGCTGTCAAGACTGTTTGGTTAGGTTCCGACATAGAGGAAGAAGAAATCCACGGTTTTGAAATTAAAAGTTGAAAAAAAGGAAACTATTCACAAGGTTGCTGAAAACCTTTCAACACCCCACAACCGGTTTCACCCTTCCT